ATCGTCTACAGTTGACTCCTGAGTTGGAGAAGATTCATAATGTATTTCACGTGTCCATGCTTAAGAAGTACGTGCATGATCCTTCTCATGTGTTGGAGAAGCCGCCCGTGGAGGTACGTGAAGATTTGAGCTATGCCGTGCAACCGGTAAGAGTTATTGACAGAAAAGTGAAGAAACTGAGGAGTAAAGAAGTTCCAATGGTTAAAGTCCTTTGGAAGAGTGACCGGTTCGAAGAAGAGACTTGGGAAACAGAAGCTTTGATGAGGAAGCAGTATGCATTCCTATTCGAGTAGAGCTGTGAATTTCGGGGACGAAATTCCTGTTAAGGGGGGGTGAACTTGTGACATTGCTCCCGAACGTCCTTGAAAATTTGATTTAAAATTCAAGTTTATGTATTGGATTTCTGATTCCCAAACAATTGTAAAACGATTAATGTTTTACGTAATTAATGATCGAATATTGTACTGTTCGAACTCGTATATTAGTATCGGACATACAGATACTATTTGGGACTTATTGATAGATAAAGGAGCCCAACATTTTCTAAATAGGATATATGACCTTTTCAAGACAATTTGAGGAAGGTCGGGCGGCCCAAACATTATTTTGGGCCCAACCTGCTAAAAATAGCAAGTATTCGAGAATGGTGTTCTAGACCCACTCGGGAGTGACCCACACGGCTAGTAGCCCAATAATATGTATGACAAATGTCAAATATGTGATAGAATGATTAAAGAAGAATACAATGTCTATAGCCCCATATTTGGCATTATTGAACTAAATAATGGGAGTAGGATTTTTCTTCTATAATATCCATTAAGTAAATTATTGTGATAAACCTACACATATTGGAGATCAATAATGTGATGTAGGAAGTTGGCTTGTTCTAAATAAATTAGGATGAGTACAAAAAGACATCTTTGACAAAAGATAAAACAATAGGACCCATCTTCCCATTTTTGGAAGTATTGGTAGATAATTTGGATCCCAAAATGATTGGGATCAATTGGGAACCACTCCACATGATATTAGTACCTGAAAGACGAATAAAAATGGGTTAGGAGACTTACCTTGGCCGCACCACATGGAGAAGCACTGCCCATGACATAGTTGGAATCAATGTTGGGCCACCACCACTGTTTTCGCACAAACAGGTGTGCTGTTTTGTCTCCCTCCATGAGTGATGTTATACTCGTCCAAATAAGGTGAATGAGGTGTCCTTGGATAGCCTTTGAAGTCTATTTTCATATTTGAGTGGTCTCTGCTCGAGGGGAGAGGTTTATCTTACAAAAATCGAGCTGGAGTGAGTGGTGGTCTGTAAACTCGAGCTGTGAGAGTGCTGAGGCTGTTTGGTTGATATCTCGAGATATACCAATCCAAATAAGGTGTGTGATATACCAAAAGAAAGCTATCAAGACGAGGAATCTGTTAAGGTCTGGTTTGCATCAATCGGAGTAGTGGAAGGCTTCCAAATCGTCTGAGCAAAACACAATCTCGCAGAAACGGATTTACTCTTCTAAAGTGAGTTGTTAACCCCAAAACCTTTCCATTCATTTTCCAAATGATATGAACGATTGGTGGAACTATTGTACACTAATCCAAGTGTATAATATGTCCTTGAAAAGTTATTTTATTGATGTAAAGGTTAGATACTAACCTAGAGTAAATCTTGGAAAACTAGGAAACGTGTTCACCGGAAAACAACCATTATAGGGGCTGTTTTCGTACCAACATTTAAGGGTTGAGCTAGCACTTGGAAGAGGCTGTTTAACACTCATATTTGAGCAAGGAATCAGTTCCAAATCCACCTTGACCAAGGTCTTGACCATTGGACCAAGAAGGAATAGTTTAAAGCTCAATTGAGGTGAGGACCGACATCTAGTTGCTTACAACTTGTAGGTTATGCATGAGATTACCTAAATGTTTAAATCATGTTTTTGTGAATAAATATGTTTGAACATGATATGAATGATAAGTAATGGACTTGATCATGAATTGAAACCATATTGATGAATATGGAGTTATGTGAGATAAAAGTATGCTAATATGGTAAATTGACCTTCCAACTCATGTATGAATGTTATGTGTGTGTAAATGTATAATTGCATGATGATGCTTAGCGCATGGGAGGCTGCCACATATCTATTGATATGGAGGGGCTACCATTAATGATAAATGAGTTGTAGGAATAATCTTAATAGTATTGTGATGCTAGTTAAGGATTGTTCTAGATGTTGATAGAATCAAACTTAAAGGTTGAGTTTGTTTGTGATGAACTTGAATAAGATTCAAGTGTCAATTGTGATTGTATGAAGTAGGAGATCTATGGTGTGATTGTATGAAGTAGGAGATCTATGGTGTGAATACATGAAGTAGGAGATCTATGGTGTGAATACATGAAGTAGGAGATCTATGGGGTGAGTACATGAAGTAGGAGATCTATGATATGATTACATGAAGTAGGAGATCTATGATGCGAGTGCATGATGATGTACTCGAGCCGAACTCTAGAAATGAGAAGTTATGTTAGGGTTGGACCCTATGTATGTCGTGACCATTAGTCACGGGGTTTTGGGAAATGTTTTGTAATAAACATGGGCCTTTGAGCCGACTACTTGACCTTATATAAAGTAAGTATGTATTTTGAAAGGGGTAATCTGGGATTACGACCTATACTATATTATCACCCTATTTGAGGGTCTTGTGTGTGAAATACTTGTTGTATATCTATTAGATGCCTGCCACACCAGCACTTTATAGCCCTATAGAGTGCTGACCCCTTCGGGGGCGTCCCACCACCATTTTTCAGGTTGAGGCTAGAGCTTGCTTCCTGTGCTCGTTGCTCGAGAGATCATATAGGAGGGAAGACTTGGTTCGTGCTTCCTCCATTCTGTTTTTAAAGATTAATAAACATGCTCATGAATATTTTACTATAGAGCCTGCGTGCTCATGTTTGCCACGTGTGGCATTTGTTTTCAAACTATGTTTTCCGCTACATATTCGATTGCTTATTATGTTGTTTATGGATGGCTTACGTGTGAATGGTATTCGTGACGCCTTGTATAATATGAATGTGTTGGACTGCGGTTGACTATTCGTATTATACGGCGGGTTGTTGACGTGTCCGGGGAGGTCCGGGGCGTGACAATATTGTCATCATAGCAGCCTCATACCAACCAACAATGCTCAGATCAATATTGTCATCATAACAGCCTCACACAAAATAATGCTCGGACCAATAAGGTCATCATAGCAGCGTCACACAACCCTTACTCAAACCATAAGGTCACACAAACATTAGTAGCAATCAATTTCAGTCATACAAGCATATATAGATACCAAGCATAATTATCACAGCAGCCTCATACCGACCAACAATGCTCAGACCAATAAGGTCATCATAGCAGGCTCATACAAACCAAAAATGCTCAGACCAATAAGGTCATCATAGCAGCCTCACGTAACCCTTACTCAGACCATTTGGTCACACAAACATCAGTAGCAACCAATTTCAGTCATACAAGCATAGATAGATACCAACCATAATCATCATAGCAGCCTCATACCAACCAATAATGCTCAGGCTAATAAGGTCATCATAGCAGCCTCACATAACTCTTACTCAGACCATTTGGTCACACAAACATCAGTAACAATAAATTTCACTCATACAAGCGTAGATAGATACCAACCATAAATGCTCATACCATATATGCATCATAACAAGGACATTTTAGTAGATAAGAACACCCTAAAATCATCATTGTTGCCCCAGAATCAAACACATCTACACACACAACGTACATGTAACACAAGTCTGACAACCATTTCCACAACAATACCAACATACCGAGAAGCAATGGAAATGAGTGAAAGATTGGAAAACAAATAAAGAAACAAACTCCCCTGTTAGGTGTCAACGTTCCACATCCTTGATTCCCAGCCGGGTAGGATCAGTTTTAAGAAGTCCTCTAGACCAGGATTACGAATGTACCACATGCACCTCCTTCCGTATATTTGCAGCATTACGGTCTGGGAGGGCCTCCTTGTCCGCCATCTCCTGCTGCTCTTCACTGTCCGGAACCACAAGCTCCACCGCACCTCCACCAACCTCCTCCTCCCACTCCTCTTCACTATCTGAAACCATAAGCTCCATCATAACTTAACCATCCTCCTCCTCTGCCTCCTCTTCACTGTCCAGAACCACAAACTCCTCCGGACCTTCACCGCCTTTGACCTGGGACTCCACAACGTTGTCCGGAACCACAAGGCCTTGACCAGGGTAGTATTTTGACTCATGTTCACTGGCCGGAACCATAAGATCCTCCATGCATTCATTGCATGCAGGTAGATCTTCCATGGTAGTCAGATTTAGGGATTTAAAATTAGGACATATGGTTAGATCAACATATAAGATAGGGTAAAACTGGATTTTAAACCACAGAAGAAAATAAAGTTCAACGAACTGAAGAATGGAAGGAGGGAAGGGCAAATGACCGGAATAGTGTAAGAGAGAGGGGAAGTGGTATCGCCGGAATAATGAAACTTCGAAGGAAAGTGGGTGGGAATGAAAGAGGGAAGTGGTAATCATAAAAAATTGAGTAGGGGGGGAGGGAGGAGATAAGATCAATCGGTGGAGTGGGAGGGTAAATAATAATGAGGGGCAAAATATGTTTTTTATTAGATAAAACTTTCCTTGTTTAGTAAGTGGGATTTTTTTAGGACGATCCAAAAAGAAAATCGGGAACTATTTTTGCGAGATGGGGAGAGTACTAATTAATGTAAGTATAAAGAGTAATTAATGGTGTACACAAATTGTACACTGTCCATGTACACAAACATTTTAGTGTAAAATTTTGCCCTTTTTAAACGAATTGTCTATGTACACAAACAATTAGAAGGTTGTGTAAAAGTTGTGTATACAACCTTTTAAACGAATTGTCTATGTACACAAACAATTACTCCGTAGAAGGTTGTGTAAAAGTTGTGTGTACAACCTAGTCATTATTTTTCAAGTATAAATGTATCAAACGTGAGTAGCAGAGCACTTCATATTCAGCCGTCCATAATCCAAACATAGCGCTTCATGTGATCAAGTGGATGTGACACTTGAGATTTTGACTTCATATATGAAGAAGACTCCTCCATATCCTTCCTCCAATAATCTATACTCGTACACTGTATTTATCGCCCTCCATAAATACAATACTCCGTATAACATATAGAAACAGAGGAGGAGGACTTCGTCTAATATAGAACTACAACTACGAAGTATAAAAATAGCAATTAATAATGGAAGAAGGAAAGAAGTTCGCAGTTCTGCTGTGCGCGGAGGACTCGGAGTACGTGAAGCAGAATTACGGCGGTTACTATGGCGTTTTCCTGAGAATGCTGGCGGAGGAAGGAGAAACGTGGAGTGTTTTCCGAGTGGCGAGAGGGGAGTTCCCGGCCGATGACGAAATCGGAGAATTCGACGGATACGTCATCACCGGCAGCTGCGGCGATGCGCACGGGAACGACGTCTGGATCTGCGATCTCCTCAGTCTCGTCACCAAGTTGGATGCCATGAAGAAGAAGGTTCTAGGGATTTGCTTCGGTCATCAGGTCCGTCCGTTTCTCTTTTTAATTCACTCCCTACGACCCTACCAATTAAGAGAAAAGGGGCAATCATCCTCTCTAATTATTAGCGATTACGCAATCACCTTCCTGAATTGGAGTCGGATAATTTCTCAATTAACTCATTACTTGCCCCAGTTGGTAAAAAAGAATCCCAAATAAGTTGAGGAATGCATTTACAAGTTTATCAATTCATAATTATAGATATTTCATTTCACGCGTACGACATGCTTTAGGGAGTAATAGATTTTTTTGGTAGGCCGGTTTATAGGAGCTCTTAAGAGCTTGAGGCCGTCTCCAACCATTTACGCCATTTTTTTCACTAAAATGGTGATTTTTTTTTATCCCGGTAGGTAAACCATCTAAGTCGGTGGGATAAATGTCGGGAAACATTTACAAGATTTTATTTATTGATAATAAAATAAAAATACAATGAAAAGGAGGACCAAACCAAAACCTTTCTGAAGGTGGTATACCTCCCGAAAATTCATCAAAACAGGAAAATTAATAAGCCAGCAATTGCACAGTACTTTCTTTACAACAATTTACACCATTTTTATCACTAAAAAGGAATATTCCTTTTATTCTTTTTACTACTTCTTACCAATGTTATATTTATTTATGTAATTATAACGTATTTATACGTTAGCCCCTCATTTAATATGTATTTTGACATTTCAGTCATTATTTCACAAATACAAACTACAATATAATATTGCTATAATCCATAATGTACAAATGCACAAACTTCATTATTTTTAAGTATTACAATATTTTAAAACTAAAACAAATACTCCGTAGTATCAAATAACATTTTTTCAATAATATTTTTCAGTATTACTCTTAGAATTTTATAGGATATACATATAAAAATATCAGTAAGTATATCTAAGAGCCTGTTTGGTAGCACGAAAATCGGCTGTTTTGGCTGATTCTGTTGAAATTTATGAAGTTCTGGCTAAAGTGGATGCTTTGACTGATTTTGCTCCAAAAATCTCTATGTAGTGAAGGCTAAGATACGTTCAAGTATCTATGAATGCTTTTGGGCTTATGGGGCTCAAGTATTTGGCAAGTTCCAATAGGCTTTTAGTTATTAAGTTCAAGTTTTATATATTAAATTTTGTTGGTTTCTTTCAGTTTTGGATAAGCGAATGTTTCGGGTAAACCGAACCGAAAAATTGGGTACCAAAAATCGGTACCCGTTCTTATAATAATAGTTTGCTTTTTGTTGTCGTATATTGGTGAATCGAAATACTGGGTCGGTTCAAGGATATACTGAATTGGTTCGGGACCCAAACCGAACCCACCCCTAGTTTTTTGATTGATATAAAATTCAATTGTTGAATTATAGCATTAGATATAAGGAAAAATTAATAGTAATAATCCCAACTATTGGCGGTCATCTCATAATAATCCCAACTATTGATTATTCCAGAATAATCCCAACTTTAGGGACCTTCCGCCAATAATGGTCCCTATGAATAAATTCTTGTAGTTTTTAAAGTGGATGAGATGAGATATAACAAGTAATCCCAATAAATAATCTCAACTTTTAATTTTTACGCTTAATTTCTATTTAAAATTCACTTTTTATAGAGGTAATATCTGGTCATGGACCATTATTGGCGGATAGTTTATATAGTTGGGATTATACAAAAATAATCAATAGTTGGGATTATTTTCAGCGGACCGGCAATAGTTTGGATTATTATTTTCAATTTTTCCTAGACATAATTATTGTGATACTTTTAACTTTACTTTAGTTTCGAACACCCTAAATGTAAAGTCTAGATCCGCCACTGTTCTCACCTTTTAGGGTTTGGCAATTGTCATTCCGTAAAAAATGCATTTAAAGTCTAGATCCGCCACTGTTCTTACCTTTTAGGGTTTGGCAATTGTCACGATTGTTATGAACTTATGATGCACATTTTAATATAATAAGGAATTCCCATATAATAATGACCATTATAAGGGTTGGTTTGCAAATGCTTTAAAAAAACACTTCTCAGCTTTTGGTTTAAAAAAACACTTATTTTACCAAACACTACGTACCATTTTTTTTCTCGGCTTTCATGTCAAAAGTGTTTTTACTTTTTCTATTACACTAAAAATACTTATTTTACCAAACACTACCAACTTTTTACTTTTCAAAATCCCCTTTTTCTCAAACACTATCAACTTTTATTTAATCACTTCTCTTCATTTAATTAAAAAAACACTTTTTAAAGAAAAAGCTGTTGCAAATAGACCCTAACTAAATTATGAGAAATATGGAGTATACATTTTCATCATACTTACTCCGGTCGGTATTGTTTTTCATACTCCCTCCGTAACATTCATATCTTCCCACTTTCCTTTTTTGGACGTAACATTTATATCTTCCCATTTCTAAATCTTCCTATCATACCCTCAATAATTTAAAAAATAATACACTACCACACCTACTTTTTTTGGATTTATCCTTCATTCCATCACATTATTTCACCATCTTCCCATCATACCCTCAATAATTCATACCCCATTTCACTATTTTTAATCTCACCCACTTTGGAAGTGGGGAGATATATGTGATACGGAGGGAGTAGTATTTATTTATTTTTCATAATTATTGTTTCATACGTCAGTATAATTGGATTGAATTTGTTGAAGTCTCTAATTGAAATGACATAAATGATTGTTTTTTTAATTGATCGAAGTATAAGTGTATCCATTTTTTTCAAAATCAAATTGTAGTAAAAATTTACTCCGTAATAGATGAAAGAGCTAAATTGGACAACTTGGAAGAGTTCAGCCAAAACAAAACACAAACTTCTTTTATTATTTTTAACAAATTTAAATCAATAAATTGGAGTTTGATAAAGGTGTCAAACTACAAACAATATAATTACCGAACGGGCACGTACCTTGAGGGGCTTGAGGTAACTTAATTCCATAATTTCTATTTTTGTTTTAAAAAAATTGGAAACACTCTTATAGTTCACCTTGATTTTTTCCTCCTTATAAAGTACTCCCGGTAATAAAAACATTCCTATGCATGCATTAATTATTAAATATGTACTCTTCTGTATTTAAATGTTCACTACACTAGTTTTGGTCACAATATTTTAGGATAGAAAAGTAGGTGTAGTGAATAGTGTAGAAAAAGTATAAGAGTGTGTAAAGTTATGAAAAAAAAAGATAAAAAATACTCCGTAGATAAAGTAAGGGTAGTTGAATACTACCCTATTTTATATAGGGTAAACTTACCAAAAATGGAAGTGTAGGAAACTTTTAAATACATCCCAAAAAGGAAAGTGTTGGAACTTTTAAATACAGAGAGAGTATATTATTCGGTTGTTCTTGAGTTATGTGAAACACCGATTTTTATTGGGTTTGGGGGTGTTTAGATCTACTTCATAAAACTGTTTCTGCTCTTTAAAGGAAAAGAAGGAGATATTAGAGCGTTTGAGTGAAAGTGCAGAATTATTTCTGGGTATTCCAAATTATTCTTAGAAATAGTTTTTCAAAGTTGAAGGGAACTAGCTCCTGAAAAAGGAAGCACAAGCACAACCATCTCCGAACATTCACTTAAGGAGTGTTTGAAGTTGCTTAAAAAAGCGCTTTTCAAATTTCGGCTTAAAAATAACTGAAAAGAGTGTTTTCAAATGACAGTTTATGCTTAAATTAATTACTTAAAAGCTGGAAGCAGGTGGGAGGGTGCTTTAAACTGTTTTTCACTTTTTCTATTACACAAAAGGTACTTATTTTATCAAACACTACCAACTTTTACTTTCTCAAAATCACTCTTTTTTCAAACACTACCAACTTTTACTATCAAGTACTTTTTCCAAAATTACTTTAAAAAACATTTTTTGTTAATATAAGCAATCACAAACACTCTGCCGTGCTTTAATTTTCCCACGTTATTTTGAATACACAGGAAAAGAATGAAGACAAAAACGTACGAAATATTGCATCACCAGCTCAGCTGGCAATATAAAGGCACTGGTCCTAATTAATCATTCAAGTCACTTTTGAAGGTTTCATTTTACTGTAGTGTTACTGTAGTGTAGTGGTTGGTGTACACTTCCGTTTACGCTTAGGTTTGCGAAAAAGAATAAGAGCCGAACTCTGTTTTCGGCTTATCAGGCTTATCAGCCAGCTTTTTCACCAAACACGTAACTTTTAGTTTCGCGCGCTGAATTGTGTAATAAGCCGAAAAAGTAAGGTTGGAGTTACTTTTCTGGCTGTATTGGCTGAAGTTACTGTAGAGAACCATTTTAGCTATTTTTACATATAATTTTTTATTTAATTTATTAATAAAATATATTTTTAAAATATTTTTTTCTTAAATGAGCAGAATCAGCCAAAACAGCCACTCCAGCCAGAATATCATAAATTTCAGCAGAATCAGCCAAAACAGCCGATTTTGGTGCTACCAAACGGGCTCTAAGTAGATACACTTCCGAATTTCCGATAAATTAAGCAACAATGTACTCAATCTTATACCCACCTAATATCTATCATGTTTGTAAAGTTTTTTTTTTGCTGTGAATACCGTTCACAGATAATATTTTGTATGTGCAAAATATTGTCTGTAAACTGGGGTTCACAGACAAAAAAAACTCTCACAAACATGGATGAATACAAAAGTAGGTATAAGAGTAAGTACAAACATTATTTTTGTAAATTAAGAGTTCATTTCATTACTTCTTTCTTTCTGTTGTCAAACAATTTTGTCATAACACCTAACTTTTGATTTCACGCACTTAATTATGTAATAATGTAATATTAAGAAAAACCGAGTTGAAGTTACTTTTCTGACTATATAGAATGATGTTACAATAAAAGATCATTCTAACTATTTTTTCATATAATTTTTTTTATTAATAAAATATATTTTATTCACAGATCAGTAGAGTCAGTCAACTCGTCGCTTCAGTCAGAATTTCATAAATTTTAGCACAATCAGTCAATGCAGTCGATTTAAGTGTTACCAAATGGGCTCTAATTTATTTGTATGAATAAATTTTGTTTGTGTGAACAAAATTTTTCTGTAAACATGTCTGGTGTCTACACACAGATAAAAATATATGTGCATAGACACTGGTTTTCGTGCAAATCACATTAATTGGTGTTCTTTTTTGCAGAAAAGTCATAATAGGTTGCACGGAAATCAACGTATGTATACATTGATTGTATACACAAAAAATAAATTGATTGTATACACACAAAAAATGTATGTGTACATATTTTTTATTTGTGCGCAAACATGTTTAGAAAAGTCAATAATTATCTATTTTTGCATGCGAGTGAAGAAATGATAATGTACACAAACGACTATACAAAAAGCTTTCATTTTTTGTGTATACTAAGGCTGTGTTCGGCAAGACGAAAAAGCTAAAAATGGGCTTAAATGTTTTAAATTCAGTCGATTTTTTGGAGAGTATTCCTGTTTGGTAAAACAGCTTAAGTACGCTGGATCTGAAATAAGAGGGCTGATTAGGAACGCTTGCCATCCCAACGTTTCAATTCAGTCAAGTGTACAATTCACCTCCATTCCAAAAATATCCCTTGAAATAAATTAAACTGTTTTTCTTTTTTCTGGATTGGTCATCTCTTTCTCGCAGAAACCTGATAATGACCTTGGAACTCGTTTGTTCTACAATCGAATTGCACAGCTCTCTTATTGGCATCATGGAACTCATTTGTTCTACCACCACTTGACATTTTTTAAACACTCTATTGTTAATTTGAGAGAGGTAGCAAATGGGGTTTAATTTCTTTTATATATACTCCGTATATATTAAAAAAAATATGATACATATACACACACGCATACATAGATAAATATACACGCACTAAACTTTTGATAATAATTAAAATATAACAACCATTCATCGCAAAAAAAAATATAACAACCATTAAAATAAATATTTTGTTCTACTTCGTACTAATTAAATGTATACCCTTTTATGTAATTTCATGTTATCCAGCTATTATTTCAGCTTTTTTTACCAAACGGGTCTACTTTATCCAGGGAGCAATTCAGATTCAACACATCAAAATTCAGCTCCAGACAATAGTTTTAATTCAGACAATAGCTCCTAAATCAGACATTAGCCTCCAGCTTCAGGTCGTTATGGCAAACATAGCCTAAGAGCCCGTTTGGTTATCCTGTTTTTTTGCCTTATCATTTTTATTAGCTAACTTTTCACTAAACATGATTTTTTTTTCATTTTGCGCGCTGAATTGTGTAATAAGAAAAAGTAAGGTTGAAGTTAATTTTCTTGTTGTATTGACTGAAGTTACTCTAGAAATCTAGAAGATCATTTTAACTATTTTTCATATAACTTTTCCTTTAGCTTATTAAGAAAAAAATATTTTAAATATAATTTTTCACAAATCATCGCCAATTCAATCCTGCACTCAAATCTTCATAAATTTCACCAGAATCAGCTGGTTCAGTCAATTTCTAGGTTACCAAACGAGACTCTAAGAATAACTCTACAAGAATAAATTGGAATATTATCCGAAATAGGACTAAAAAGGTTTGAAATTTCCAAAATAGGACTGCCATGTTTTTATTTCCAAAATAGAACTAATTATTGTCATGTTTTAGCAGTACCAGACTTTAAACATGCAATATTTTCCAAACTTGACAGTAATTAATCCTATTTTGGGAATAAAAACATGTGCTATTTTGAAATTTTCAAACTGTTTTAGTTCTATTTCAGGACTTTTCCGGAAAAAATCATGTCAAATAAATTCAACTACAACGAAGATCGGAGAACAGAACTTGACCCTATGTGGAAAGCTAATTCCGTTCACTGCAAGGATTCCGATTTCCGAGTGCATATATTTTTGCACGCCTATTGTTTTTGCACTCCTATAAATATATCTGTCAGGACTCCTATTGGAGTACCTTTTTCCCATTATTTCACAATTTGAAGCCACTTGAATAACTCTTGGTGGTACTATGGTTTTATTTGATGTGATCAGATATTGGGGCGAGCACTAGGAGGAAAGACCGGACGAGCAACGGCGGGATGGGACATCGGGGTGACGGCCATTCATATTTCGTCGTCCTCCAGTCTCTGTAACTCTCTCAAATTGCCTGCTTTCCTTGATGTTATTGAGTGCCACCGAGATGAGGTAATATCAACATTGATCACTGGGATGTATGGTTTCGTCCATCACTTATTGAATTGAAATCACTAATAACTTACGTAAGGGGTATAATGCTATGAAGTAAAAACAGACGGGTGAGAGACCCGGTCATGTGATTGGGTCACGGGTCAACCCGGTCAAAGCCGGAAAACCGGTCAACGATTATACGTCTATATAATAATAATAAACATATAATTATATACACTGTCATTATATATTTTTATTTGTATTGTACATTTATATTATAATTTGGCATGATTTTCATTCTTAAATAAATATATAAATATATTACATAGTTTTTCTTTTTAGGGAATTGAAATTGCAATTTTATTGGTTTAAAAAATGCATTAAAATTAAAAAAAAATTAATTTTTTTTGGAAAAGACCGAAAACCGGGTTTTTCCGGGTTTTTCAGGTTTCTTGGGTCGGGTCCGGATCGGTTTTTTTCGGGTCAGCCGGGTTTTTCCGGCTTTTGACCATTTTCGGGTTTTGAAGAAACCGAACCGGATTTTTGTCCGGGTCACCGGGTTCCGGGTCAACCCAGCCGGGTCGGGTCGGTTTTTTAAACATAGGTATATAATGTCTATTGCTGCCTTACTTCGGACGAATTATCATTATAATCTTACCTCAATGGGTGATTGGAATCTTTGTTCAACCACCTCAATTCAATTTGAGGTGCTTCTGCGTGAAAGTTTTTTCACGAAATCATATTATTCATTACGTTCAAAAAGTTTCAATTTAAAATTCAATCGGATATTCAGTTAAATAAATTGTTCAAAAACATTGTGTGTTCTATTTATATTTTGGTGCAGTGTTTTTCAATGATTTATTAAACCGACTTTCTGATTGAAATTTAAACTGAAATTTGTGGACATAATCTACCATTAATGAAGAACACCTCATTAAATTTCATCAAACATTTCATCCTATAGCACTTTATTAAACGGGCCTGACGGACGACACCCCTGGTCAAGTTAGATCGATGAGAAAAGCTATTCCCTAAAGTTATTCATTTACTCGTTATGAGATGCCTAGTACTCTGATCTTAACAAAATGTTCTCATACTAAATTTGAGGTTTGAGGTTTAATGCATCAAATTCCCTATGATGTAAATAATGCGTCATTTGCTTTGTTAGTAATATACGGTTTGTGAATAATACAATAATACATTCGTCCGTGTATAATACGATACAATTATATAAAATACGGCTAAATATATGTTTCATACGTCCGTGAAATGAATAAAGATACGAACGTGTTTTAAACGTTTCATAATTTAAAAATACGGCATATAATACATGTCTTATAGACTAATTTAATGATGAGAGTAAAGAGTAATTTAGCATATGCACCACATTCTTCAACAATTTTAAATGTACGAAATAGTTTTTTTAGATATAAAATTTGAATTCATAGGTACAATAAGTAAAAAAAAATGATATTTCATATTTATGTAGAAATAGAGAGATATTTAATTATAGAGAATAGTTTAATTACTGTGGCCGTAAATTGTTGGAAAAATGGTTTTACAAATTAATATTATGGTCATTAATATTATTTGTAAAAATCATTTTGAAATGAATGAGAAATTATTCCCCGAAAGATAAGCGTGAAACTATACTTAACACGCATACACTGCCGCCGTCAGTCGGTCGGGTTCGGGTCTTTGACGAGTCAACAATCGGGCTTAAGATAGGAAGATTTAATTTTGCTACGTTTTCGGATAAAACCAAATTAAAGACACAACCATTCGTTTTAAAAGAAAGGTCATGAACTTTCTTTTAAAAGGTGTCTTTTGGGTTAAGAGACTCCTGGCCAAAGCTCTATAAATACCCGCCTTGTCTTCACTTTTGTGATATCCGAAAATTCAAAAACAATTCCTCAAATTCTCTGTTCCTTCGTTGCATCTTTGAGTTCGCCGGAATCCCTTTGGGAGCGAAGAACCGTTCTATCCTGGGAGACGCTTGCTACGTGTGTCGGGCAAAAACGTCTTAAGGAGACAACGCTTTTGTTGGGCTCGGTTGATACAAGTATTTTCTTTTACTTCTATTTATCTAATTAATGCATGCAGATTTACATGAATTTTGGTTAACAATCTTAAGACGTTTTTTATTATTGTGTGAAATCTGCTTGTTTGTTTTCTGCCGTGTGAACAACGTTTAATAACTTTTCTGTTCGTGTATATATTACTACCTGCTACCATCTGTGCATATATGTTATTATTGGCTTTATTTTTTTCAATTGTCTGGTACAATGCTTATATTTCGTATTTGCATCTGCTTCTACGTAGTCCACTTTATTTATTTAAAGTTTGTGAGTGCATGTAGTTTGACTTTGATTAATTTGACCAATTGCATGTATTACAACAAAAATTAGACGTTAACGTGTCTCAGATATTTGTCTGTATGCATTTTTTTTCTTTCAAACTGTTACATCCGTTCATCGTTCGCATGTAATAGTACGTGTATTTAGTCTAACTGCATGTGTATGTTTTTAATTGCCATATTGTGAAAGGTTGCTTTAATTTTTCCCATTAGTCGCGTCATTTCACGTAATATATGAATTTGCTTCTAATTTTTGGTTTATGCATGTACGAATCACATATTTACATGCTTCACTGGAATATGTAAATTGCATGGCTGTTAGTCTTTACACAATCATTACTTGATTTCTTAAGTTTTGAACGGTTGCAAGAGTTTTGCCTTCGGTATATATTTCTATAATCTCATTATCACTGTCTGTTCACAATTCTTACTCCATATATAGTACTTACGAACAACTGTGTATCTTCATATACTTTGAGTATATATATTATTTAGATTAAAAAAAAATTGTTGTAATCCTTCGCAACTGTCTATTTTATGTAAACAGAATGGGAGACGAAAGTAACATCACTTTTCCGAAATCATCCCCGCTCGCTACTATCCCGATCAGTTCTTCTCACGGGGAAAAACCTAGCAAATTCAACGGTCATGATTTCAAACGTTGGCAACAGAAAATGCTGTTTTATTTAACAACGTTGAATTTGGCTAAGTGTCTCTCCGAAAGCCAACCTGTTTTAGAGGAAGGCGAGACTGATAAGGAGAAAGTAGCCGCGGTGGATGCGTGGAAGTACTCAGATTTCTTGTGTAGAAATTATCTCTTAAACGGACTCGATGACTCCTTGTACTCCGTGTATGCCGATATAAAGACGGCAAAAGAATTGTGGGGATCACTTGAGAAAAAATACAAGACCGAGGATGCCGGAAAAAAGAAATTTATTGTCGGGCATTTCTTGGACTTTAAAATGGTTGATCACAAATCGGTTGTTTCTCAAGTTGAAGAGTTTCAACTTATCCTTCATGAAATTCACGCTGAGGGTATGTCCCTTAGTGAGTCCTTCCAAGTGGCGGTGATAATTGAAAAATTACCTCCCAAATGGAGAGACTTCAAGAATTACTTGAAGCATAAGCGTAAGGAAATGTCCCTAGAGGAGCTCATTGTTCGTTTAAGGATAGAGGAGGATAACCGCAAATCGGAGCACAAAGCCGATAGATCAAGTTCCATGGATGCTAAAGCAAACATGGTCGAAGCGGGATCCAAGAAAGGGAAGAAGAGAAAGCACAATGACGAAGGAACAAGTGGAGGGAAACCTTCGTCAAAGAAGTTCAAAGGAAAGTGCTATAATTGTGGCAAGCCCGGTCACCGTGCTAAGGACTGTCGTGCTTCTAAGAAAAAGAAGACCGGACAAGTCAATATTGTGGATGACCTCTCTGATGACATGGGTGAAATGAACCTATGTGCCGTGATATCTCAATGCAATTTAGTGGGAAACACTAAAGAATGGTGCATTGACACTGGAGCTACCCGACATATTTGTGCTAACAAGTGGATGTTCACCGATTATCAACCCGTTGATAACGAGGAACAACTATTTATGGGTAACTCTTCTACATCCAAAGCAGAAGGTCGCGGCAAAGTTGTCCTTAAAATGACCAGTGGAAAAACTCTAACTTTGAACGATGTGCTACATGTCCCTGACATACGCAAGAATCTGGTTTCGGGCTTTCTCCTTAGCAAAAATGGTTTCAAGCTTGTCTTTGTGGCTGATAAATTTGTACTTACAAAGAATGATGTGTTTGTAGGGAAGGGCTATCTCAATGATGGTCTCTTCAAAATGAATGTACTTACCGTTGTACCCAAACTTGTTGATAATAATAAAGTGGGTTCTTCTTACTTGGTTGAGTCTTCTTCTATTTGGCACGCTAGACTAGGACATGTCAATTATGATACTTTGCGTAGATTAATGCATTTAGAATTGCTTCCTAAATGTCATATTGATCCTTATCACAAGTGTGAAATTTGTGTTGAAGCAAAAATGGCTAGAAAACCTTTTCACTCTATTACTAGAGAAACTGAACCACTAGATCTCATACACACAGATCTTTGTGATCTCAAGTATGAAGAAACTAGAGGGGGGAAAAGGTATTTCATTACCTTCATTGATGATAGCACAAGATATTGCTATCTGTATTTGCTACATAGCAAAGATGAAGCTGTTAATGCTTTTAAGCATTATAAAGCTGAAGTTGAAAATCAACTTGGGAGGAAGATTAAAGTGTTAAGGAGTGATAGGGGTGGTGAATATGAGTATCCCTTTGAGCCAATCTGCTCGGAAAGTGGAATAATTCATCAAACTACTGCTCCTTATACACCTCAATCTAATGGAATCGCTGAGAGGAAAAATAGAACATTAAAGGACATGGTTAATGCCATGTTAGTTAGCTCTCGTGCTCCGAACAACTTGTGGGGGGATGCTGTCTTAGCCGCCAACTACATTCTAAATAGAATGCCACACAATAAAACACACAAGATTCCATATGAGTTATGGAAAGGGAAAAAACCAAGTTTCAATTACTTGAGGGTGTGGGATGTCTAGCTAAAGTAGCTATTCCCAAACCTAAGAGGACAAAACTTGGACCAAAGACCATTGATTGTGTCTTTGTTGGTTATGCACAAAATAGTAGTGCATATCGTTTCCTTGTCCACAAATCCCATAACATGGATATATTGGCTGATACTTTTATAGAATCTAGAGACGCTACATTCTTTGAGAATGTATTCCCTTTCGATTGTGAAGTTGTCTCCTCCAACATGGATGTTTTCATTCCAACCCATGTTGAAGAAACAAACTCACATAAGAGGCCGTTTCATTCTATAAAAGATAACAACGAAATAACGCAGGAAGGTGAAGTGGGACGCAGCAAAAGGGCTCGAAAATCGAAAGATTTTGGACCAGAATTTGTTGTGTACCTTATAGACGATGAGCCTCAAACCTATAAAGAAGCCATGTCTTCACCGGACGCTGTACAATGGCAAGAGGCTATCAAAAGTGAAATTGATTCCATCATGTTTAACCACGTCTGGAAAGTGGTAGATTTGCCTCTTGGATCTAAACCTCTAGGATGCAAATGGATCTTCAAAAAGAAAAGGAGAACTGATGGAACAATTGAAAAGTACAAAGCTCGATTGGTTGCCAAAGGATACAACCAAAAAGGAGAATTTGATTACTTTGATGTCTACTCACCGGTCACAAGAATAACTTCAATTCGAACGTTATTAGCAATAGCTGCATTGAAGGGTTTGGAAATCCATCAAATGGATGTAAAAACTGCATTCTTGAACGGTGACTTAGAGGAAGAGATTTACATGCAACAACCTGAAGGTTTCATTGTCCCCGGACAAGAAAGAAAGGTTTGTCGCTTAGTAAAATCTCTTTATGGGTTAAAACAAGCCCCCAAACAATGGCATGATAAATTTGACAGTGTAATGCTATCAAATGGATTTAAGATCAACGAGGCTGACAAATGCGTGTACGTGAAAGGCAATCAAAATGACTACGTCATAGTGTGTCTATACGTAGATGATATGCTCATTTTTGGTAGTAACAGTAATTTGATAAAGCCTACCAAAAGTATGTTGGCCAGGAGATTTGAAATGAAGGATCTCGGTGTTGCTGATGTGATTCTAGGAATTAAAATCATCAGAACACCTGAAGGGTTGATATTATCTCAATCACACTACATTGAGAAAATGCTTGAGAGATTCAAGAAGTATGATATCAAACCCATGAGAACTCCTTTTGATTCCAGTGTTCACCTCAATAAAAATAGAGGAGAAAGTGTGTCACAAGATGACTATCCTCGGGTCATAGGATGTTTAACATATGTCATGAATGGAACACGACCCGATATAGCTCAAGCTGTGAATAAGCTAAGCCGGTTTTCTGTAAATCCCGGTAGAGAACACTGGAAAGCACTTATAAGGCTGCTTGGGTATTTGATGTACACCAAAGACTATGGTTTACATTTTCAAAAATATCCAGCCGTGCTAGAGGGATATACCGATGCAAATTGGATATCCGATTCCAAGGATACAAAATCAACAAGTGGATATGTGTTTACCCTTGGAAGTGGTGCTGTGTCGTGGAAATCTTCCAAACAAACATGTGTTGCAAGATCTACCATGGAAGCTGAATTCATTGCCTTAGATAAGGCTGGAGAAGAAGCTGAATGGTTGAGAGAGTTTTTGGAAGATCTTCCTTGTTGGGAAAAGCCTGTCCCTCCAATATCCATTCATTGTGATAGTCAAGCTGCAATTGGAAGGGCAAGGAATGCAGTTTATAATGGTAAGTCTAGACACATCCGTCGTAGACATAATACCGTTAGAAAACTAATTAAAAATGGGATCATCTCTCTTGACTATGTTAAGTCGAAAGAAAATATTGCGGATCCGCTAACCAAACCTCTACCGAGAGAGTTGGTCGAAACGTCAAGGAGAGTGATGGGCCTACGGCCAATGATCCAATAAAAGTCCATGGGGAAACCCTACCTATTATTGAGAGTGCCTCATAATTAGGTTCAAAGGGAAAACACAACTGTGGACTGGCTCGGGCGGTACTAGCCAAGATATAGTACACTCATGCCATGAGCATTTAGGGTAAGTTACGCTTTTAATGATCTCTATATCTTGATACGTTCAAGTAAGGTATGGCATGATACCTTCCATAGAGATCACCTATGCTGGTGGAAGAAGGCCGCTTCTATGAGAGTCTATGGCACGAGATAAATTCTCCGGTGCACGATATACTCTTGAAAACACTAGCTGAACCAGGAGGTGTTCAAGGCCGAAACGAAAACAAACGTGAGAACCAAAGATGCACTCGGGGCTCTGTGTGTTATTCATTGTCTAGGTTTACACTATGGCTGACGGTTCAAAGCAAAGTGCTACCGATTGTCCAGTAAATCCGATGGATATACACTAAGGTAGGTTCAAAGTTTCACGACTACCTAACCCTATGCAGAGTTCCCATCTTCCCATGTCAAATTCCAATATGTTTCCTGTCTTTAAGCCAATTTCCCATTCATGTGGGGGGATTGTTGGAAAAATGGTTTTACAAATTAATATTATGGTCATTAATATTATTTGTAAAAATCATTTTGAAATGAATGAGAAATTATTCCCCGAAAGATAAGCGTGAAACTATACTTAACACGCATACACTGCCGCCGTCAGTCGGTCGGGTTCGGGTCTTTGACGAGTCAACAATCGGGCTTAAGATAGGAAGATTTAATTTTGCTACGTTTTCGGATAAAACCAAATTAAAGACACAACCATTCGTTTTAAAAGAAAGGTCATGAACTTTCTTTTAAAAGGTGTCTTTTGGGTTAAGAGACTCCTGGCCAAAGCTCTATAAATACCCGCCTTGTCTTCACTTTTGTGATATCCGAAAATTCAAAAACAATTCCTCAAATTCTCTGTTCCTTCGTTGCATCTTTGAGTTCGCCGGAATCCCTTTGGGAGCGAAGAACCGTTCTATCCTGGGAGACGCTTGCTACGTGTGTCGGGCAAAAACGTCTTAAGGAGACAACGCTTTTGTTGGGCTCGGTTGATACAAGTATTTTCTTTTACTTCTATTTATCTAATTAATGCATGCAGATTTACATGAATTTTGGTTAACATAAATTTGGTGAGCCGCCGTAATAATCTTTTCTCTTTGGAGTCTTTGTATGAGTAGATAACAAGAGTAACACAACAGTAGTCCAATAATAATATCGAAACGAGTTATGACATTAAGAAGCTAATTTATTAAATCTTATGACTATTAAACAATTAATGAACATATGAGACATAATAATTTTTTAAGCAATAAAAATAGTATTGAGCAACTAGACATTTTGCTTCAGTTGTGCCACTCCGTTAGGCTTCAGTTTAATGGTGTTTCTTTAATAAAATACGTAACAATACGTACGGTACGTGTATTATACATTTTATCTTTAAAGTACGTGAATTTTTCAGTATGTGCAATTTGTTTCCAATATATAAGACAGATAAAAGAACTTGATTTATGTGTATCAGAAGAACTTGAGATATTGTGTTTATACGACGCATTGCACATATAAGAGTATAACATATCACTGTGAATTTGGTGGATCGGATTAATATGATAACAATATATAAGACAGATAAAAGAACTTGATTTATGCGTATCAGAAGAACTTGAGATATTGTGTTTATACGACGCATTGCACATATAAGAGTATAATCACTGTGAATTTGGTGGATCGGATTAATATGATAACAATATATAAGACAGATAAAAGAACTTCCAGTGAAGGCTGAGATCATCGGATGGTCAAACAAGACCGGAATAGAAATGTTTAGATATGGAGATCATATAATGGGAATACAAGGTCATCCAGAGTACACCAAGGGCATAATCCTGAACCTCATTGACCGTCTACTCCAACACAATCTTATTGGAAATGATGTGGCCATTACTGCCAAGGCAAAGCTGGAAGAAGCACATGATGAGCCAAACAGGGAGGCATGGAAGAAGTTGTGCACAAGCTTTCTCAAGGGTAGGTTGTGACATTCATTATTATGGTGCAAATTCTAAATAATTTTCAATTCAGTGTGCTATTTGATGAAAGTCAATTGTAAATAGAAGACACCATTCATGATTGTTGTCATTTTCTCGACTATGGATACTATATGAATTGTATTTTTTGTTTGGTGTAGGGCCCCCAAGCCTCACTTGAATTTTGACATGCTCGAGCTCGAGTAAAATGTACTAGGTCGGTTTTGAGCTCGATCTTGAACGAGCCTAATAATTTTGGCATGAACCCGACTCAAATTTTGCTCATTAGTTTTTAATGGTCCGAGCTCGAATAAGATGCTTCTCGAACTTGAGTTCTAATTTGAGTTTGAGCTAAATTATTAAACTCAAGTTCTAAGTTGAGTTCTCAAACTCTTTTCTTCTCGTAGTTCTACTTGTTAATTAAAACAAATTTTCTATTTTTAAAAATTATTAATGTGATATATATACATCTAATCATGTGTATAGTATGCGTTTTTTTTTAAATATTACTAATAGAAAATATATGGACAAAAATGTGACTATAAGTTACTATGAGTAAGTTTTATAGTCATTACGATGCAATATTTGAATAGAATTATAGTCACGAAAGTTACAAGTGTCACATTTTTGTCCACTAGTTTTATTTTGTTTATATATTTGAAATTATTTCATATAATATATGTACTCCATCATTTGCAATGGAGCCAAAGATTCAGTATTTTTGGCTTGAGAATCAGATGGAATAAAGCAAAATGGCTCATTAAACTGTCTGCGCTTCTTTGTTATGAAACAACAGTCAGTCTATGCAATTTTGGACGCGATTTTAACTACGGGTCATCCGGAAACAGTCTCTCTGTGCTTTAGTACATGGGTAAGACTGCGTACATCCGACCCCCTTACCCCACCATAGGTGAGAGCCTTTGCGGCACGGGTGTAAATGAAAATGATGAATGAACTCTAGAAAGTAGAGACCTCATTTTATTATATTCTCTCTCCTTCACTAGTGTTTTTACTTCTCGTTTTGTTATCAATAGAAACATATATATAATGTAGGGAAAATGTGCAAATAGGCTCATGTACTAACAAAAAAAGGTCAAATAAGTCCTTATTTAGGAGGCTCTGTCCGGACGTCGCCATTTGGGGTGGTTCCCGTTGGAATTTTTTGATGAAATTTTTTGAGCATCTTATTCAATAAGTCTATGGAAAAATTGATAGTAATAATCCCAACTATTGGCGGTCCGCTCATAATAATCCCAACTATTGATTATTACAGAATAATCCCAACTTTAGGGACCTTCCGCCAATAATTGTCCCTATGAATAAATTCTTGTAGTTTCTAAAGTGGATGAGATAAGATATAACAAGTAATCCCTATAAATAATCTCAACTTTTAATTTTTACGCTTAATTTCTATTTAAAATTCACTTTTTATAGAGGTAATATATGGTCATGGACCATTATTGGCGGATAGTCTATATAGTTGGGATTATACAAAAATAATCAATAGTTGGGATTATTTTCAGCGGACCAGCAATAGTTGGGATTATTATTTTCAATTTTTCCTAAGTCTATTTTACTCATACCAAATTTCAGCTAAAACTTCTATCGGGAAGGGCGGTTATCTTCAAGAATTCATTTGAATGCCTTCCGGATTGAAGTTGTAGCTGAAATTTGGTATAACTAAACTAGACTTGATGAATAAGATGCTCAAAAAATTTCATCAAAAAATTTCACCGGGAACCACCCCAAATGACGACGGTCAGACAGAGTCTCCTAAATAAGGGCTTATTTGACCTTTTTGGTTAGTATATGGGCCTATTTGCACATTTTTCCTAAAATGTATAAACACATAAATAAGTAAAGACATTCATAAGTATACTTATATGTATGTGTTTTTGTATATGTATGCATGTGTATTTGTTAATGCTCACGAGCAATGAGGTAAATGAAATTGAGCTCAAGCTAGCCTCAATTGCTTGACGAGTTGGCCCGATTCTGGCTCGAGTTCGAGTTTGGTTGTGCCCGAGTCAGGTTTGTGTGATCATCTCACAAGTAGATCACATATGACTTGACACATTTGCATGCATATTTGGGGTTCAATTTTGGCGTGACAATTCTAAGTTCTGCCTACTTTATTCAAAATCAAGACAATATAATCATTAATAGATTTGGAATTGTATGTATGTGATAAAATACTTTTACCACACATAAATACAATATACTAATTGTATTTTTAATACCTATTGATTAGATGATACTACCATGTTGGTTATCTATTCCACATAATTGATCACATGATATTATCATATTGGGGTCGTTTGTTTTTTGGAGGTTGGCAGCCAAAACGCTGGAAAACAAAACGTTTTCTTTGTAAAATAATTGACGGTTTGGCCAATCCGCTGGTTTCCAAACGGAGCCATTAACCCCTTAGGATTCAGTCCAAAAGAATGTTGCTTGAGGTACTACATTCAGAGTATGAAATATCTAGTGATCACATCGTCTTTGGGGTTAAGACCCTAGTCAACACATCTATCTATATACAAAAGGGAATGGACAAATTGTCCATTTTCTTGCTAAAAAGTGTCACATCAGAAAAATGATTAAAAAAATAAAAATTAAGATGAAATAGAAGAGAGGTTGGTCTTGTTGTTTCACGACTGAATTGATAAAGGCATATATGTAGGTTTGTTCCTTAATAAATGTGCAAGGAGCCAGCTACACTTTGCATAGGGTGACGAGCAAAAAAACAGATGGATCATTAATCAATGAGTATAATACTCCATCAAACCTAAATAGCAGAGTTTTGAGAACAACCCAAATTATAGACATGCATTGCTAGTTGGAAATTAAAGGACTCTATGTTTAATATGTAGTATATTGAATGTTAAAGTTGGCTTGCCTTGGATATTGTGCTCTAACAATAATGACAACGAAGTTGGCAGGCACCCTTTCAAAATTTAAGCATCTATTAAAGCACCGAAAATGAATACACTCAAGCAAATGTTTTGTTAACTTCTTACTTCATGGTGCAATATATAGAATGCCATATGAGTAATCAAGCCTTTCTTTCCTATCCAATCTGGGAATGAGAAATAAGATACAAGGTATTAATTTTTTTAAGTTATCCAATCATTGATGTTATAATAGATTAACTGGTCAATTTTGGGAGGTCGAGTGAAGATTGCATTGTTCTTGAAGTGTAGTTTTTTCTTCACTAAAAGACTCGTCGAATAGGTATGTGTACTCCTGCGTAGAAGAAATTGAACAGTGAAGAGGAGATCCATTTCAGACAAAGGGTGTTTGCCATGTGAAGCAATAATTTTATGGTGAGGTTGTGGCGATGGAGTTTTTGGGCGTGGGGATGACATTCGTATGCGTAAGTGGTGGAGGCCTTACGGCGTTCCTGTCAGGAAATTCCGGACAGGAACAACACACACACTCTCTCTCTACACACACACTAAAATTGCTACATATGACTTTGGAACATTTTATTTAAGGATGAAAGTACTGCTGGTAATGAATAGCTAGACAAAGCAAAAGAGAATGTGTAATATAAAAGAAGATAAAAAAATAGAAAATTTATAGGTAATTGATTAATTTTAAAAGATAAATTCACCAAAAGGGAAAAGTGAAACAAACTTTTAAATATATTTGAAAAAGAAAAATATAGTAAACTTTAGAATAGAGAAGGAGCATAGTTATTTCATTATGTTCAACATATATAGAAGAAATCTGTATTTTGGATTTTAATATGATTACATCGAAACCAAAAAACTTTTAATGTGTTGGGAGTACTACATCATGATCAACACCCATGAATGCTAAAACAATTTCCACATTAATACAATTTTAGAAGTACTTTGGTAAACTGTTTTAGATCGTCGTGTATGTATAAGATTTCTTTCGCAAAATCATTTATCTCATTTTATTCAACGTTTTATAATCCCCACCTAAAAAGGTAATAAAATGGGTCACATAAATCAAGGTAATGCATTGGCTAAAATCACAAAAATGCATCAAAGAATCAACTTTTTTTGGTCTAGATGAAACTCCGTGTATTTGGTGAAAAGTGTTGTATCAAAGGCACATCAATCTGACTTATTGCATTGGGGGCTTAGACAATATTCGAAAAAGATGAGTGGTTTTAATGATTTCGTGGAATTGTTTAGTGCCTTATAATAAGAATTTCAATTTAAAGAAAATATGTTAATTCAAAATTCATTAATGTGTTACATGCTATTATAGGAATATAGGATTGCTACATGGAGCTATATGTACATACGGCTTCCACACAAAGTCAATCCAAATAGAAGGTCTTCAACAAGTGACACGTATTTATCTTAACACTATATTATGTATACTTTTTTTTTTACAATATTTACGTATACTATTGGCGGTCCGCTCATAATAATCTCAATTATCGATTATTTCAGAATAATCCCAAGTTTAGGGACCTTCCGCCAATAATGGTCCCGCATGACCGGCTACAAATAAATTCATATAGTTTCTAAAATGGATGAAAAGAGATATAACAGGTAATCCCTATAAATAATCCCAACTTCTAATTTTTACTCTTAATTCCTATGTTTAATATCCGGTCATGGACCATTATTGGCGGAGGGTCCATATAGTTGGGATTATACAAAAATAATCAATAGTTGGGATTATTGTTTGCGGACCAGCAATAGTTGAGATTATTATTTTCAATTTTTCCTATTTAAAATTATATTTATACATTCTACTTATTTCGAACCTTCATTTACTCAATATTACTTTGCACATAGTATAGTAAAAAATTTAGACTAAGTTTTTCCCGTGCATCGCACGGGTGTGAATGTAGTTGCATATCAATGGTGAAAAATATAAGAAGATAGTGTTGTTGAAATTTTTTTCCATTTTATGACACCTTTCACCTTGTTAATAGTGGAATGAAATTATATTGAAGCAATGTTTTAACACCTTATAATTTATTCTTTTTTAACAAGGGGAAGACAATTATAATGAAGCTATATTACTTGATAAGATTCAAAGTTCATTAACGTTTCACAAGACTTAAACAAAAGGATAAAGAGAATGAACAAACTTAAAATTCCGTTCGTAGCCAACAAACTAGCTAGTTTTTATGCAATGTGTTGTATGATTGAGATAGTGTCCAATATATTTTTATTTAACTTAAACATTTAGTTTTGTACTTTCTATATACTTAAGGCATAGTCAAGTACCTTGTGGTCTGATGACATTACTGTGGCACTCCCAATGAGGAGATCACATGTCGAATCTCATCCCAGTTCAAGGATGTTGGTTTTAACATTGAATATATACTATAATAGATTAGAAAGAATTGTGGAATTG